TAAAGAGTGGCCACGGATTCACTCCCTATTCATTCAGCACAAGAACAACGCCGTAGTCGTCGACACTTTAGAGCACATCTCAAGACTTAGAGATCTGCAGACACTTGTGATGGACGGCAATGGAAGCAATGGTCTCAATGATAACGACTTCGAGGATCTGTTGACCAAAAGTCCAAAATTAAAGAACATTGAAATGCGTGTAAACAATGTCTCAATGTTTTACAGCCGTAAAAATGTAACAAATGTTTAATGGTTTATAAATTGGACTCAATTTTGTTGAATGTATTTTAAATCCTTATATAAAACATTCATTGAATAGCAAATGATTTTTTATGTCTATTATCTATAATTTTTTCAATTTGTCTTAATTTAGATCACATTTTAATTGTATTAATAGAAACGTTTGTGATTTTATTTAAACATTTATTTTCATTTTAAAACATTTCATTACATTTAATGTTTAATTTAGTTTACTGTTAACTGTATTTAGAAAACAGTTTAATATTTCCATTGAATTACTTAATTTGAATTATTCTTATCGTTAAAACTTGTTTTTCACAATTCATTTTAATGCTAGAAAAGTCTTCAATTAAAACACATTGAAATTAATAAATTATTTTTATTGCATATTATATTTTAAACATTATTGAATTATAACGAGAGTGAACTGTATTTCACTTTCAATTGAAAATATTCGAACAATTCATTGATTAAATGAAGAGTACAGTCGACTCTAGATATAAAATACAAATATTAGTGATGTCTTTATTCGAGACAATTATTGTTAATCACGTGAAAAGGGATTCAAAGTTTAATTTTCAAACAGTTGTTGACATTTGTTTGCATTTCATTCAATCAATCGATCACTTCATTTGATCCCAAGAAATGGCACAACAGATGAAACGCAAGAAGACATCAAAGCAATGGGTATTTCATTATTTCTATATTTATTGAGTTTTCATTATATTTATCACTCATTTTAGCCGCAAATCTATGCCAAAGACTCTTTGGATCGATTCGGTGATGATTTGTGTGAACTTCTGTTGTCTTATCTCACATTTGAAGATCGATTTCGATGCGAATGTGTGTCCAAACAGTTCCGAAGGAAAATCTTCGAGAGTGTTGTGGACATCAGTATTGACGCCAATTTTTTCTTCAATACAATTGTTTGAATACAAAGAAATCGGTGACTGAAATGATGTCCAGAATTACCATAAAGTGTCCAAACATTGCGAGTCTTGACTGTCGAGGAATGAGATATTTATACGACTCAAAGATACCCATTGTATTGAAAGCATTTCGAGACAATTGCCAGCATTTGTGTCGAATTGACTGTCATTTTCGATCAAATCCCAAGAAATGGATCCAAGAGTTCGGTCCTCTGGTCACAGGAATCAGTAGTTTTAAAGCTTCGGACAAACAATCACTCACTCATTGCCACCGATTGTCGCAATTAAGTGTCGAGTCGTTAGCCGATGTCTTCGACACCACTTCCGGGCAGTTATTAGCGATGAATTTGAAGGCTTTTGATGTGGAATACAATGCCATCGAAAACAGTGTACAATTGGTGTCGTTCTTCGCCGGCAATCAATCACTCAATACATTTGCAATTTATTGCAATATTCGTACCGAAGAGTGGTTTCACGAACTGACGGACCAATTGTCACGATTAACACAATTACGGCAATTGAGACTCCGTTTACATCTACCAAATGGCGAGAACTCATTGTCCGAGTCTTTGCGTACAATTGGCTTAAACTGCAAACAATTGAAACGATTGGCACTTAATTTGAAGTCAAACCACAAAGTATTCAATGGCCAGACATTGGATTCGTTGCGATGTTATCGACAACTAAAACAATTGAATTTAACACTATATGATACCATCGCTGGGAAAGTGTTGAAACCGCTGAAACTCTGCCACCGATTAACGCATTTGAGACTAAATTTACGCACAATTAATGCTAAGTTATTTGCTAATTGTGCTGAGCATTGGCCACGACTTCATTATCTGTTGATCTTCACAAGTGATACCACTCGCGAGTGTTTGTCACACCTCTCAAGACTACCGGCGCTCAAAAAACTGGTCCTTCAAAGCCGTGAAACCACTCAACTCTCGGACAATGATTTCAATGATCTGTTGTCGAGAAGTCCTAAACTAAAGAGCCTTACAATCAACCGATCGATTAAATGTTATTCTCTTTAATTGCAATTCAATTATATTTAACTTTTAATTGAATTGTCATTTAATTTCAATATTAAAATTGTTTAGTTATTTAGAATTCATTTCAAGACATGATTCAAAACATGTTATTTTGTATTTCATTTTCTTATTTATTTTAATAAACCATTTCTGTATTAATTATTGTCAATGAATTTATTATTTTATTAAATGCAATGTTTTTTCAATCAAATACACATTTAAAATAGATTATTAATGGGAAAAATTAAATCAATTAAATGTTAAGCAAAAGTAATACATAGTAATTTAATCGCTAAATGAAACAATTTACGAAAAATCAATTTTGAAAAATTATAAATATTACAAAAATTATTTGCAAAAATACGAAATATTTAAATCGTTTCCATAAACAGTGAATGACTTAAAAGTATTGATTAGTTTAGTTTCAATGAGTTTTAGTTTCGGACATTTAAACAATAGTACAGAGAAATCACTGTCTTTGAGGCCAATATCACGACCGCATTCAATGGCCAGTGTTTGCAGCGCTGGTAGTCTTGAAATGTGATCCAAACACTCGCGAGTCATACCATTAGCACTGATGGACAGGCATTGAAGTCGCGGCCAATGTTTGTCGCAATTAACAAATAATTTGACACTCAATTCAATTGTATTGAGTGTTAAATGTGTTAATCGGTGGCAGAGTTTCAACGGCTCTAAGAATTGGTGATCCATTTGTGTAAAGTATGTCAAACGCAATCGTTTTAGACTTTGATAATATCTCAATGACTTAATGGTATAGCCATTGATAACTTTGTCTGCAAACGCGTTATAAAAATCCAATTGAAGTGACAATCGTTGCAATTGTTTGCAGTTTAAGCCAATTATACGCAAAGACTCAGACAATGAGTTCTCGGCATTCTTTAGATACAAATCGAGTGTCAAATCCCGTAATTGTTTTAATTGTGACAATTGTACCGACATTTCGACCAAAGACTCATTAGTGTTGAGTCTGTTCTCTACGCCAACACTTTTGAGAGACTGATTCTGTGCCACAAATGAAGACAACATTACATTGTATTTATTGTCTAAAAACATTGAAAACTCAAGTTTCTGTAAATTCTTCGCCAATAGTTCTCCAGTAGTGTTGTCGAAGATGTCGGACAACAAATAGATCCGCAATCGAGACAATCGGTGGCACTGAAGGAGCGATTGTTTCTTTTTGACGCAAATGCGTCCGATTTGTGTAATCATTGGTCCGAAAACACTAAACACTTGAACAGTATTTGGCCGTAAATTGCAGTAAATGTGCCGCAAATTAAGACAATTGTCTCGAAATATGTCCAACACTTCGGGGATGTGCTTCTCATATCTGTTACTTATTCCTCGGCAGTCAATGGTCTGAATGTTTGTACACTTTATGGCAATTGTGGCCAACAATTCAATAATAGATGTCATTTCAGTCTTATATTTAGTGAATATTTTGTCGTTAATATTGATGTCCACAACACTCTCGAAGACAGTCCTCTGGAACTGTTTGGACACACATTCCAAACGAAACCGATCTTCGAGTGAAAGATGAGACAACAAAAGTCCAAACAAGTCGTCACCGAATCGATCCAAAGAGTCTTTCGCATAGATTTGTGGCTAAAATGTGAGACAAAAACAATTAAAACCAATCAATAAATATTATTAAATGTATTAATCAATTGATTTAATGGTAAATACCTGTCGTTTGTTGCGCTCCTCTTCGCCGTCATCTGTGGTCTCGAGTGATGCCATCGTTTGTGTTATCTCTTTTGCCATATCTTGGGATCAAATGAAGTGATGAATGAATGAATGTTTTGCTCAAAATCCTAAATAAAATGCCATTAATTTTTGGATCACTTTTTAGCAGAGATGTTTTTACTGTGAACCGACACGCCTACTTTGGAGAGTTATTGCACAGCTTTAACCCTCGTGCTGTATCGTAAACCAATTTTGTCGAGTGAAACGGATTGTATTGACAAACAGCCATAA